TAAATGTGGGCTTGACCAAATACTCTCTGAGGAACTTAACAGGTGTCCACAATAAAGGATTCCCTAAGTTTTTGAAATTCCATCTTCTGTGAAGACCTGAAAGTCAGTGAAAACGTGAGCCTTCAACTGCCTCCAAGCCTCCATGACATCTGTAGCCAGGGTCTGTCTACAAAAGCTCTGCTCCGGGGTTTCATTAAGGTCTCCTCGGTCACGGCCAAGTTTGTCTTCCCAATTAAACCGGCTATTAATGACCAACTTAAAAAGAGAACAGTCAATATTTAATTGGAAAGCAAATCACCTAACAGTAAGTGGTAGACTCATTTCCCAATTAATAATCTGACAAGAACTCACAAAAACAAAACAGCATCTCCCAAGTGCCATCTTGCCTACTTCCTGTTTAGAAAGGCTTCCTGTTCCAAATCCACACCAAACACAAGGTTGGGGTCGGGGTGGGGGGATCAATCGTAAAGTAGAAAGATGCTGTGTGCACGCACAGGCATAAAACCGTCCAAATTGTACATCAGCAGGTAATGAGGACTCTGTCCACCCAATTAGTTCTATTTTAAGGGGCCAATGGCATGACTTAAAACCAAAAACTGCAGTTAGCAGCAGCCCCCAACAGACTCAGTCGCAAGCACTTTCTGTCTCATCCAAGCCCCTCCTGAGGACCTTTTCTGCCAAGCCATGGGAGTACAACCTTTGAAATAGCTGACTGTCCTGAAATATTTTTTTAAATACTTTTTAAGTGGCTAAGACTTTCATTTATGAGTCTCAAGGTACTTTAAAAAATACTCATCTGCCAAATGTAATACTTTCATTACAATTACACTATACTTCATCTTTAAATTACTTTGATGGACTACTACACTGGAAAATAGTCATTATTTAACCATTTGGTATCACGGTTAGAAATAGCAATGAGATTTGGATATTCCATGTCTATACCTACTCTGTTCCTTGGGTCAAATTCTTATTCACCTGCACTTTTTTTATCCAGTTAAAAGATAACTGTTCTAATAGGAATAGCATTTAAAATACAGAAAAACTTATGTTAGTACATAATATAGTATAGAAATGACATTTTTTTACATATCCAAACAAGAAAATTACGGGGGAAATTTTAATTCACTCTTCAAAAAAGAAAAACAACTGCTCAGTGATAAAAAGACAAAGCTAAATTAAGCAAACTTTTCAAAGGACAGTGGACTCTTTCACTAACACGTAATTTTCTGTGACAAAATGGTAAGTGCAAGGAAACATGAGAGAAAACTGGCCCATACAATTCCATGTATCCTGAAGATGGAGCTCAGACTTTATAAACATGAGTCTAAAATGTGTTTTCCTGCCCTGGCCAGGTGGCTCAGTAGATTGGAGTGTTGTGCCATACACCAAAAGGTTGCAGGTTCAGTTCCCAGTCAGGGCACATACCTAGGTTGGGAGTTCGATCCCCGGTTGGGGCCCGTAGGGGAGGCAACCAATCAATGTTTCTCTCTCACATCATTGTTTCTGTTTCTCTCTCTTTCTCTCTCTCTCTCAAATCAATGAACACATCCTCAGGTGAGGATTTAAAAAAATTTTCCTTTTTGAGGTTTCTTGTCTCAAAGCTATGGAATTTGAGAGAGAATTTGAAAAGCAGTTAAGGATAAAAGGACGTAATCAAAATTTTATACCATGAATTAAGAATCATGAGGATAATGCTGCAAGTACAATACTATAAAGCTGGTAACACAGAAAATACAACTGAACAGACCAGACAGAGCAGAACTACAGTGACAGAACAATTCACTAACAATAGATATACATGCACACCTTTCTTTTTTTTTTTCTAGTTTTATTGAGATATTGGGTTGGCCAAAAAGTCTGTTCTTTCCCTAAAAGACACATTTTTCATTTTCACCAATAACTTTATTGATTTGGATAGTTTGAGTATGTTGTCTGTCTCCCGCTATTGGCTTCCAGTGGGTACAGGCGAGGGGCGCTGCTAAAGATCTTCCAATGCATAAGACAGCCCCGCAACAAAGAATTATTTGGCCAAAATGTCGACAGTATGAAGAAACTTCACAAACCACTTTTGACATGTTCAATCAGTCACAGCATCATCTCCACACACTGCATAAATCTTTGTGTTTATTTGTGTCTTCTCCTTTCTTGAAATAATAAAGCAAAGTACACTGAAAATGTTGGTTATTTTCTTTCACCTTCAATATTAAAATGGCTGCACAAAAGTTCACCAATTTGATAAGCCTTTTTTTAAATGCATGCCTATTGGAGCTGTCAGAATAGAATCTAACAAAATTGTTTCAAATGAAGTTAAAGACAACTTAAGTGCTACTACAGCCAATCTACAGAAGAAAACATAAAGGACTTTTCGGCCAATCCAATATAAGTGACATATAACATTACACAACATGATTTATGTGAATGTTGCAAATGATTACCATAGTAAGTTAACATCTAACACCTCACATTACAAATTTTTTCTTGTGATGAGAAATTTGAAGATATAGTCTCTTAGCAACTACATTCCCTGTTCCGTTCCCTGAAATACCTGCACCCAACCCTCCTCCAACCCAAACACCAGAGTAATATTACCATCTGCCTCTCATTCACTGCTCTGTTTATGAAATTTAAACCACTGCGAACATTCAAAAGCACATCAGGGAGGAAAACAACAAGAACAGTGAGTTAGTAACATCCTCACTCCAACCCCCAAATTTTCCTGTGACTCAAAGAAATTAAATACACACATCAACACTGCGATATCAACATCAGGCTTAAAAAGGTCACATGTAAACATGAACCCCAATCCCTACTAAACCTGCCTAGAATGCTATGTGTGGATACTCCATTTATATCATGCTCGTAACAGATTTAACAAAATAAAAACGTTCTTCAAATGGTCTGAGGCAGTCAAAGACAAAGAAGAAAAATGAAAACAAGAATATGCAACAGAAATCAGGGTAGAAAATTCCTAGGACTACATCATGGTGGCAATGTGAAAATAATACACATGGGCATAAGAAATGGATGGATAACCACAAAATCACACTCTACACCACACAGTGTTGGGAAATTTCCAACACAAAGGCAACCAAAAGCAATGTATGTTTCTGAATCGGTATGGGGCGGGGGCTTTAGTTTGTTTTTTTAAATACTTTTTTTAAATACAGGGCATTTAGGGTAAATTTAACTGCATTCAAGAAAACTGACATACAGCATAAAAGAAATGGGTAAAGCCTACAGAATCATAAGAACACCAGTGAGATGGTACATTTTATAAAGCTGCTAACGTGCCTAATTCCCTACTCCACTTCCACTGGAAGTAATTACTCCTTCTCCTGGATTCCCATCATATCCCATCTGTCTCTTCCCGTCTTAAGTCATAGTTTTTACCTTACATATTTTATCCCTCAAATACAGTCTACTTTATAACATGTTATAAGTATCGGGTACTAGAATATTATGTTGTAAGTATAGCCTACTGTAGCATCATGTTAGATTAGTCTTTGCAAAACTCAGGACGTTCAGTTATTCATTCAATAAATATTGCCAAAGGCACTGATGGGTGTGGCTAAGTTAGTCGACAAAGCTAAAGGTCACCGATTTGATTCCTAGGCAAGACACAGGGGTTGCAGGTTCGGTCCCCAGTCAGGACACATGTGAGAGGCAAGAGATGGATGTTTCTTTACCTCTCTTTTTCCTTCCCTTCCTCTCTCTCTAAAAATAAATAAAATATTTTAAATAAATAAATATTTCCAAAGTACATGTAAGTGCCAGGACCATCCTACAAACAGGCAAAAAATATGTACTGTTCAAATGAATGTTGACTGCAAGGTAGATAACCATAAACAAGTTCAAAGAAGAATCCGAAAAAATCATGTATTATATTTCCACAGGGAATTAGGATGGGAAGCTACAAATATCCTAGTATCATGAAACATCTACACCACCTGTGTATTATCACAGCAAGAAACTGTGTCCACAATAGAACAGCATTTTCTCTGCTTGGCCTACCAGGTATATTAAGTATTTCCATACTGAGAATTGTCTTAAACCTCTCAATTTTTTTGTAGTAATGATTTAATATGCCATAATCTTATACTAGAGCTCCCTAAATAACACCTATGAAATGGGTCTTTATCAGTCCGGGAATAGTGGTCTGTTCATTCACTCGAGAGCTTATTAACTGTAAGACACTGTTGGGCCTGGGTTTTAAAAAGATCAGGACTCTCCAAGAGTCCTCAAGAATTCAATCCAAAGTCTGGCATAGGTTGGGGGCATTCACGTTTTATTTTACGGAAAATACCCGAGTTGAAATTGAAATGTCAACAACGTAACAACGTTTCATATTTCTTTCAAGTGTTTTTAGTCATTCCCTCTATCATCCTTAATGTTATTTGAAAGGGTTCTCCCATCCACAATTTATTTCACTTAAAAAAAAAACCCCATAAAAGGCCTGCCACTCCCATTACCACCATATATATTCTGGGAAAACAATATGCATAGACTGTAACTTGAAATTTGTTTCTTTTCTTTTCTTTTTAGGAATAGACCGGGATAGGAAGACAGAATACTAATCGGAAACGGATGTGTGCCTTCAAACCCACAGCCTTTCCACCAGCTCACTACAGGCTCTTGCCTGTGAGGCTGTGGCCATTCACAGGTGGTCACCTTCCTCGGTGAGCGCAGCAGAAAGCAATCGACAAATCAACGTGGTAGGAATAAATGAACACACCTGGCTTTCTCTACAAGCCCGAACAGCGAGCGTGCTCTTAGGGCCGGACACTCCACAGAAAAGACTGAGGCGGGGCTCCTCCCTCTAACCCAGCCCCAGAGAAAAGGGGGGTCTGTGGGGACCCTGGGATGGGCTGAGAGGAGGCAAGGAGGGAAGGGGAGGGTCGGCAGGTTGGAACCCGGCTCCCCCTTATCCCCTCCAAAGCGGAGGTCAAGCCGCTGCCCGCTGTCCCCTGTCCCCTGACCCTGCCTCCTGCCTCCCTCACCTGATCACAGAGATGAGCAGCCCTGAGGGGTCTTTGCTTTTGCTGACTGTGCTTCTGTACTTCCCACCAGCTGCTTCTGCCGCCATCTTGGTACCGGGCGGAGAACCCGTGGGTTGGAACGAACCGAAGGCAACGGGAACTCTGTAATTGACCTCTCCAAGAGCCTACCAATGGGAGAGGAGAAGCTCACAGAACTTCTCTTCCAGTCGCCGGAGTGAGGGGGCGGGCCCCGGGCAGCACGTTTCCAGGCCCGACGCGCCCTCGAAGCACTCTGGGAATTGTAGTTTTCCTTCCGCGGCTCCTGGGCGCGGAGAAACGCAAACCAGGAGCTGCTCTGTGAAGTCTCCTAACGAGTGTCTTACTTATATATATTCTGATCTTGAGCTATTTTGTTTCCTTGTCTTTAGAATTATATCAATCTTTAAGTCAAATTTACCTGATGTTGCCGGTGAGGGGCGGTGGGGGTGGAGGGAGGGGGGATGCGCGCGCGCGCGCACTTAAGTGAGGCGGGGTCTATGCCTGATGTCTGCGGGCAAAATTTTACTTTAAACATAGTAGTGTGTTTTTTTTTAATCCTGTAAAATGCGAAAATGTACAGAGACAGGAATGCTTCTCTTTAATATTCTCTAAACCCAAATGTTTTACATTTGTTTTATGTGGGTTCAATCATTTTTCAGTGTCCCTATATTCCCAGATAATCCTAAAAGGAACACGTAAATGGATGTTGATAAAGACAAGACCGAAAAAACGAAAACCAAAACTGACCAGATTACACATTCCTTTTCTTCCCAAGCTAAATAAAATATGGATAGCAACATTGTGCATGTGTGCTTTATTAATACTTTTACTGGTAAATTTTCATATTTCCTGCATTTGACTTTATTGGCTCAGTCATTCATTTAGAAGATGAAATGAACAAATAACGAAGATTAGAGTACGTATGGAAAGTGGAAAAATAGAGAATCAGAAGGAAAAATAATTACTGAGCAGGAGGGAAAGAGGTGATCTGCTTAGTAACAGCAAAGATTAAGAACTTCAGAGATGAATAAAAAGCAAACTTGGAGGCCCTGGAGTTCTGAAGCAGCAAGCACATAGCTCATCAACTAATCTCATTACATAGATGTTGCTGGTAGAAGTTCATAATGATTTTTAAAAATCAGTTGGAATTTTTTGTTTATTTTTTTATATTTCAAAGTGTTCATAGCCTTTGTCACGGTAATTCCAGTTATAGGGACTTTGTTCCTAAAGAAATAGAAATAGAAAAATACTGAAAATTTGAAACAAAATAGAAATATTAAATATAGAACATTCATATAAGGATATAACAAATAGCCACTGGGAGTCATAATTTTAATGACCTTTAATGAAAAGAAGCTTTTCATGGTATAAGCGCAAAAATTAAATGACTCATATATATAAAAATAGATCATTGGACCTAGTGACTAAGAATACCAGCAGTAGCCGGAGGGGCGGGGGAGCAGGGGTGGGGGGGAACACCATAATCATCTCAGCTGATGAAGAAAAGCTTTTTGACAAAATCCAACACACTTCATGATGAAACACTTAGAAAACTAGAAATAAGAAGGAACGTCTTCAACATGATAAAGATATTTATTTAAAAAGCATAGCTAACATCATACTCCGGTGAAGAACTGAAAATTCCTAGCTATGATCAGGCACAAGACAAGAATGCCCACTTTCACCACTTTCATTCTACAAAGTAATGGAAATTCCGGCTAGAGCAATTAGGCAGGGAAGGAACAAAAGCCATCCAAACTGGAAAGGAAGAAGTAAAACTATCTCTGTTTTGTAGACAGTGTGCTTTCACATATGAAAATCCTAAAGAGTTTTTTTAAACACTATTAGAGTTCAATGAATTTAGCAAGGTTGCAGGATATAATATCAAGAAAAAAAATCAGTAATGTTTTTATATAGTAGCAATGAACAATCCAAAAAGGAAATTAACAAAATTCTACTTACAATAGCATCAAAAAGATTAAAATAACTAGGAATAAATTTAACCAAGGAGGTGAAAGATTTATACACTGAAAACTGTAAAACATGCTGAATTAAAGTAGACCTAACTAAATGGAAAGACATCTAGTGTTCATAAATTGGAAGCCTTAATATTGTTACGATGTCAATATTCCCTAAAGCTATCTACAAATTCAATGCAATCCTATGGAAATTCCAATAGTCTTTTTCACAGATTTTTTAAAAACTGACCCTGAAATTCATATGGAATTTCAAGAAGCCTCGAGTACAAACAATCTTGAAAAACAACAAATCGGAAGGACTTAGACTTCCTGATTACAAAACTTACTAAAGAGCTACAGTGGTACTTGCATAGAGGTAAAAATATAGATAAATAGAATGTAAGTGATAGCTCAGAAGTAAACCCATTCATCTATGATCATCTAATTTTCTACGAGGGTGCCAATATCATTCAATCGGTAAAGAATAGTCACTTCAACAAGTGATGCCGGGAAAACTGGACATCCACATGCAAAAGAATGAAGTTGGACCCTTTCTTAGTCCATTCAGGTTGCTATAACAAAATATCACATACTGGATAATTTATAAACAACAAAAAGTTACTTCTTATCGTCCCAGAGCCTGGGAAGTCCAAGTCCAAGGGGCCAGCGCAGCTGTGTTCCGGTGAAGGCCCTCGCTCTGGTTGTCGGCGCTCCACACTGTGTCTTTATGGGGTGGAAGGGGCTGACTCTCTAAGGCCTCCTTTGTAGGAACACTAATCCTAGTCACCTCCCAAAGGCCCCAACTCCTGATACCAGTACCCATAGAGGTTAGGAGTCAACACATGAAATTTGGGGTGGACACATTTAGACCTCACACCATAAACAAAATTTAATTTTAAATGAATCAAAGACCCAAATATAAGAGAGAAAACTCTTTAAAAAAAACACAGGGGTAAATTCCTACAACCTTAGGTTTGGCAATTGATTCTTATCTATGACCCTCAAAGCATGAGCAACAAAAAGAAAAATAGGTGAGTTGGACTTCATCAAAATTTAAAACTTTTGTGCATCAAAGGACACTATCAAGAAAGTCATACGACAACCCACAGAATGTGAGAAAAGATATGCAAATCATATGTCTGATACGAATCATTATCCAGAATACAGAAAAAATTCTTACAACTCAACAGCAAAAGACAAAAACTCCAATTAAAATCTGGGCCATGGACTTGAATAGACACTTCTCCAAAGGATATTTACCAATGGCCAACACATGCATAAAAAGCTGCTCAACAACTTTAGTCACTAGGGAAATCACAATGAGATACCACTCCATATGCACTAGTATGGATATAACTTTTTTAATGGAAAAAAATATTGGCAAGGATGTGGAGAAATTGGGACCCTGTGCATTGATGGTGAGAATGTAAAAGGGTGCAGGCACTGTGGAAAACAGTTCAGTGGTTCCCCCAACAGTTAAACATAAAATTACCATATGACCCAACAATTCTACTCACAGGGATATATCCAAAAGAATTGAAAATAAGTGCTTCAAAGATATATACTTATACACAAACGTTCACAGACAGCACTGTTTACAATAGACAAAAGATGGAAACAACCCAAATATCCATCAATGGATGAATGTGGTATAATGTGTGGTATATGATAAAGGTATAAACAAAATGTGACATGTTCACACAATGGAATATTATTCAGCCATAAGAGGGAATAAAATACCGATGTGTGCTTGCAGCATTGATGAATCTTGCAAACATTATATTAAATGAAAGATACCAGACACAAAAGGCTACACAGCGTATGATTCCATTTATAGAAAATATCTGAAATAGGTGAATTCATGCAGATGGGAAGCAGGTTAGTGGCTCCCAGTAATTGGGAATGACTAGAATAGACAATAACTGCTTTATGGACACAGGGTTTCCATTTGGGATGATGAAGGCATTCTGGAACTTGATTATAGTGATGGTTGCCCATTTTGTGAATTATTAAAAGCCACTGAATAATATATTAAAATGGTAAATTTTATGTGATGTGTATTTTATCACAATAAAAAAAATGTAGATTGTAGGGTAAGATTGCCTAGATTTAACTCCAGGCCTCCCATTAATGACTAGGTTACCTTAGGCAAGTTTTTCATCCTTCCTGTGCTTCAGTTTCCTTATCTGTAAAGCGGGTGACAACAGTCTTTCCCTTAAAAGGTTGTTGTGAATGGTAGAAAGAAGGGGAAGGGACTAGACAAAGAACATGTAAGACTGACCCATGAACATGGATAACGGAGAGTGGGAATTGACTGTAGGAGCGGGGGGTGGGGGAGGTGGGTGGAGGAGGGCAAAGTGGGAAAAATTGAGACAACTGTAATAGAATAAACATGATTTTTGAATAATTAGTTAATTTTTTTAAAAACAGAAAATCATTGTGAGACTATGAGATATGCATGGTCAGCTATTATTACTCAAGAATGGTGACAATTTTGCTTATAACACACTTCTTTGGGTGTTACAAAGTTTGTTTGAGGATCAAGAATATGGGTAATTTTTTAAATTTACACTGTTCTATTTTTTTTCAAATTTTCGATGACTAGGTATTGCATTTATAAACAGAAATAAAACATTTTTTAAAAGCAAGAATTGGATACGAATCAAAACAATGGGCTGCTTTTATCACAAACTGGACATGCAATTGTGATAATTAGATCAGCACATCTCAATTAAACCTTAATTGGATGAACTGTTTTTGTTTCTCTGTTCCACTTCCTTCACATTCCACCTCAGGAAACCTTACACACTGGACCTTTCATCTTCGGGTGACAGACAGACCCTTTCACATTGCTTCTCTTCTAGGTGACCTTCTAAACTAACTCCAACCCTTCACCAAACTGTGAACAACGAATAAAAATAAAATAGGGGATGGCTTAGTGGGTCTGCCTGTTTGTAACCTTTGACCTTCAACCACAGACCCCCCCAAATTCTCCAGGCTACGGGATCAGCTAAAGTTCATGAAAATGTAAGAGATTGATCATAGGCTTCTCTATGTGAAGGAGCTGACATGCAATACAGAGAAATTAAAGGAAATGAGCATAAACTGTAGCATCTACTCAATGCCCACAGAATAATAGCCTAAGTGCCTCCGATGTTTCAAT